GGGTGGGTGGGAGGGGAGGAGACGAGAGAGAGAGAGAGAGAGAGAGAGAGTAGTCAGCTTCTGCATGGATCCCTTATTTGTCGATTTGTCCCAACTTCCCCAGCCCATTGCAACGAGGACAAACTATCTGAGATTGATCCTTCCTTGCTGCATTAGCCCTCAGTGCCGCCCCAGCTTGCCTGACGAACCCAGCTCCGTCACACTCTGGGCATCTGCATCAGATACGGTTGTTGTGGGCTTAGGAGGGATGAAGGAGAAAGGACGGGAGGAGGGGCAACTTACATGTCCCTGCGAGAGAAGAGTATGGGGAAAGCAGTGCCGACAAGCGCCACACCGATGGCTCCGGCGATCAGATACGTGTTGCTGTCGGACGACAGCTCCCCGACTGCCGACACCGCCACCACCCTGGAAGCAGCAGGCCTTCTGCCGCACCAAGGAAAGGCCGGAACCGCCGGGCGCAGGGAAGGCGCGACTGCAGCAGCCGGTGGTGGCCGAGGGGAGGAAGAAGAAAGAGGTGAGGGAGCTGAGAAGGGAGCCACGGAAGCCATCACTGATCTCTCGACGTCTGAAGCGGCTCTCCTTTCTTCGTTATATTGATCTCTGTGTGGTGGTGGTAGTGAAGGTTGGCGTTGATTGGGGCCTCAAAAGAAGGATAAGTGCACATCAGTTGTCCACTTGCTCTCCGATTGGATTTGCTCGTTGTGGATAAGATGGGACCAAATGCGATCCGCCATTGTTCTACCTCCAACCGCAGACCCATTTCTCACTCCACCAAACATCAAGGGGGGCCCTTTCAAGTTTCATCTCTCTTCGCCTTGTCCATCCATGCCTGGAGTTCATGAAGCTCTGGTCTCTTTCTATTTTGCAGGTCCCTCTTCAAGTTTCTTTTTGGTGGACTTGTACTTTGAATTGAATCCTTCACTCTCTTGGATCTTGATCTATGGCTTGTCAGAGTTCCATCCTAATTTCAAATGGGCAATCATAATATGACCATCAAGTTGTAAGTAGACAGAAGTTCTCTGCCTTTTTTGTTAAGATGAGATGAACAATGGCAAGAAAATTGTTTTATATGCTTGCATAAATTGGGTGAAAAATGACAGAAATTTCTTTTAATCATAACAAGGTGTTTTTCTAAAATTAAACCGAATAAGTTCTCTACATTGCTCATCACAGTAAACTCAAGATGTGATGTTGAAATAATACTCCAGAGCTCAATTTACTCCAAACATGATGCAGAGGAAAACAGGCCAACCTTATAGAATGGAGATAGTAGGCTTATGCTTCTGTTTGAATCATTTGAACTGTTGATGCATTTCCTTCCATTTTACTAGATATAGAACTTAAGAGAAATTTCATTGCCGGTTGCATCACATATATATATATAGAAATTTAAAGGGAAGTATGTATACAAGTGAGACTACAGATGAACACAGATAAGATCAAAGCAACTTCAGGATCATTAATCACAATGTGAGAATTCGATGCCGTCAGGTAAAAAAACAAAGAACAAATAAGAGAACAGAGCAAAGAAATGTGTTGAGATCATAAAAACAGGTAGATAGATCTACATATCAAAATTTTGATATCCCATGCTGCCTTGGCATGCCATGAAAAGGATGATCTGCGGATACCTGTGGGAAGATAAATATGATTAGCATAACATAGAGAACTAACATTAGATTTCTGAAAATGTTAAAATGTAACTTTAAAGGATGAAGTAAGTTCATTAGTTTTGTTCCTATCCGATAAAGCAAGCTCGGTATGGCAACAATGACTGCTAAATACTGGAAGTGATCCCTTCTTGAAGGACTAAGAGCATCAGTGAACCCATAAAACATGTTTGATGTTATGCAAATAGTTCATTTAAGAATACCACTAGTATGTTCGAACATAAAAAGAAAACGAGCATTGGTAAATGTTAATATTGCTCTTCTGAGTCTGTGTGCATTGACCTTCTTCGTACCCCGCATCGCATAAGAAGCTAAATCCAGATAACTAAATCAGATTCCAATATTGATCGATGTGTTTTCTCTGAGGAAGTTCTTGAAAAGTTGATAGAAAAATAGACACAATCATCTGCTGACATACAGTGCTGTGAAGTATGACTAGACCAAAACTTGCTTTTTATTTTGAAGGAATCAGACAAGTACTCAGAAGATGTAGAGTTCCATAAAGCAGAAATCCCTTGATAAATTGTTATCGAGGAAATCGAAACCTCAGCAAGGAACCATTAACAATTTAGCAAACTGGGTTTATTTTTCTGATTTTTACTTTTAATAAGTGTTCAACAATTTGGCTTCTTCTACTTGTCCTTTGCTTATGATTATGATTTAAGCAGAAGAGGAGCCTAAGAAGTTGCCCCATTTACAAGTTTCTTGTTTAGGGTTCAGAATGACTGTTCTTCTTGCACAACAATTCAACTCCAAGCTTCAACTCAGAATTGAATGGTATGCGTTCAACATGCTGTGGGAAGCAATTAAGCAATGCCAAAGCTAATGCTACAACGTGTTAATGAACTTCAAAGTAATTTCCTGAAAGAAAGAGAGAGGCACTAAAAATGAGGCTAAGATTCTTAAAAGCACTGAGAAAAAGGATTGAGAGAGAACATATAGACCTAATCCTCATCTTCTTCGATCTTCTGGCCAAAGCCTCTTGGTCCAGTCCTTGCCTTGGCTTTTGCTTTCTTTCCTCCCTTCTTCTTCTTTTCTGCATCTTCTTTCTCAAACTTCTCTCTTTCTCTTTTCCTCAGAAAATCTTGCACTGCCAAGTAGATCACCTGCCCCAATCGCAAAACCAACAATTCATGCCCAAAAAGGCAAAAAGAAATCAAAATTTGTCTTCCTCTTTGCAAACAAGATTACATCTTTGATGCATCACAATCAAGAAACGGGAAAAGAAAGCTCGTACTTAAATTGAACGGCAGGAAGAGGTAAAAGTTAAGGCTTTTACATTCAGATGCGTCAAATTTGTCCCATTAACCAAACCTAGGATCGAAACCAGAGGAGAAGGAAGATTATTACCCCTATGGTGAGGATGGAGAGTCCGATAAAGGCGACGACGAGTAAAGCAGAGACGACGGTGGATGCAGCGCTGTCTTCAGCAGCGGCGGGAATAATCTGCTGGGCCTTCTCCACGGTGGCCTCCGGCGGCAAAGTTTCCTCCGCGACAGCCGAGACCCGCCAAATTCGAGAGCTTTTGAGTGAATCTCCTCCAAACCTTCTCTTCCGTGTGCATAGATCTAGTCGAGGGCGACCGGAGGTGGTCAGTCGGGGACTCGGATCGAAGCATAGCTTGGAAGAAGCACGGGAAGCGCATTTGGGAGCAGCGAGGAGGAGAGGAGACGAAGATATGGTTGATGTTGCCATCCTCTCATTTGCTTCCCTCTCTCTTTCCTCCCCTTGACGGTTGTGATCTAAATAACCTGAAACAAACAGCCATTAGATGATAGATTGACGGCCTTGATCTGCTGGAACAAACAAGTGAGACGGTCGAAAGATGTCGCAGTGGGAAAAAAGCAAATAGAAGTGGAAAATCCAAAGCACAACGCTTACAGGTCCACGTCCCTTTCCAATTCCATATTTGTCGAAGGTACCCACTCACCGACCTGCCTCGCTATTGGAGGTACCAGGTATTACCTCACAGTGGGCCATAGCGGCATACGGGAAAAATTAAGGCTAGTCTAACGGGTACGTCGGAAACTGGTTCGACAAGCGGGGGCTTGATATCTGCCGTCCAAGCGATCTCGTCAACCGACGGTTCGGATGAGATGGAAGGAACAACGAACGGTGGATGCGTCTCCATCAAGCGGCCATCGGCCACAGCGTAGCACATAAATTTGCACTTTGCCCCAAAATAAATAAATAAATGTCCGAATATCCCCAGAAGACACTCCTTTCACAGTAAATATCCACCGCCCCCGCCCGCTCTCTCCTCCTCTCCGTCTTCAAGAATTCCGTCTCCTCACCGTCGATTATCCACCAACTCGTTCTTTCTCGTACCTGAAACCCTAATCTTTGTATTCGAATTCTCAATCATGGGCGAGGAGGCGGGCAGCGATGACGAATTCGACCGCCTCTCGGCTGCCGACGATGTAAGCAGCGGCGGCGACGACGACGACGGCAGGGTTCTCGAGTGGGAGCTCGGTCTCCCTAGCGGCGAGGAGCTCACTCCACTGTCCCAGCCCTTGGTACCGCCGCAGCTTGCCTCGGCTTTTAGCGTCAAGCCAGAGCCGGCCCGGACTGCGCTCGACGTCCATCGGGCCTCCCAGTCCACCATCTTCGGCCTCCGCCGCGTCGCCCCCTCCTCCGATGCCTCCGCCGCCTTCAGATCCTTCTCCCCCTTCCCGCCCGCCGCCGCTGATGAAACCGTGGCCTTTGAGGGCGACGATCCGGTGGTCGCCGGTGAGTCTTCAGGCAAAATCCCACTTTTTGGGCCCATTTCGCCCTGCGCTGAATCGCCGGAGGCGGAACCGTCTACTCCCCAGCCGGACGATTCGAGCGACGACCACTCCGCGAGGGCCCTGAAGCGGCCGCGCCTCGTCTGGACGCCGCAGCTCCACAAGAGGTTCATCGATGTGGTCACCCATCTGGGGATCAAGAACGCGGTGCCGAAGACCATCATGCAGCTGATGAACGTGGAGGGACTGACGAGAGAGAACGTCGCGAGCCACCTCCAAAAGTATAGGCTTTACCTGAAAAGAATGCAAGGAATCCCAGACGAGGGGCCCTCGCCATCGGATCACCTGTTCACCTCAACGCCGCCGGCGACACAGAGTCTTCACGAGCAACATGTCCACACGCCCATGCGGTATGCCATGCCGGCTATGTTCTCAATGCCAGTCTTTGGAATGGCTCCTCCACATGGACATGGTCGTCCGATCACAATGGTGCCGGCTGTACACAATCACGGAAATGGAGCTCATCATGCGTTTGAGCCACAGCATCCTTATGGAGCTTTCAGCGAGCGGCACAAGGATTGGTATAGTGGGAACAGTTTTGGTTCCATAGCTTCGTATCCACATGTTACTCCTAAAAACAAATAGGATTTTGACTGAATCAAGAGCTTTGCTTCTTGCTACTTTTTTCTGCCGCTGCCATGGTTTTTTCTGGAACTTGTTTAATAGGAAACCATTTCAGCTATATTATCTGTTATCTGCTTTGATTTATATGCTTAGATTAAGTCACTTTGTTAAACTGTGATTATTTTCTTTTGAGGTTGCGTTGAGCTTACAGAGTACTATTTACCATGAATGCGTAGGGAGAATTGTATGGTCTCAATAATTTTTTATGCAATAACTACCATACAATTATTGAAAGGCTTTTTCCAATACCAGTTAACAAGATGAACTTTGAATGTAGTTTTCGGTTTATGCAATGTACCAGGCACAAGCATGTTGGAGGCAGTAGTAGCAAAGGTTTTTATTTTTCTTTTTTTGTTTTGAAACTTTCTTCTATGAAGATGATGATTGCTCTGAAGGATTTTATGTCGGATAATTCTCGTTTAAAATTATCTTGCAAACTGATGCTTTTAATATCATCCGAAGGAGGGTTTATTGGTCGGCATAAAGATCTTTTCTTCTTTTGATCCACCACTTAATCCTCTTTCAGAGCAAGAATGAGATAGTCGTTCATCTTAAATTTTAAGCATTCATCAGCTGGTTATCTAATTGAATTGCCCAACTTTTAGTTCTTCTGCTTTCTCTTGTGCTCCTGTATACAACATTAGTTTGTTTTTCATTGTAATTTTTGACAGATTGCTATTTGATCACACTATGATGTGCTTAAATGGTGAATGAAGGACTCCTAATTTGACAGGAATACGGGAAGGCCTAGATGGTTACGGCTTAGGTTATGAATTATGAACTTGAGCTTGTCTTTTGAAGTCTAAAAGAAATGTTAGCAATATCAGAGTCAAGAAATCATGCCTATACAATTGAGTCAATAGATGTTCTGTTTTTCTGTCAGTTTCCAAATATTGTTGATATTTGGTTCGAGTAGTTTTGAAAGGGGAACGCTTCCATAGAAAAAACCGGACTCATGCTATCTGGTTATTGCTGTATTAATTCACCGTTAATGCTGCTTTATATATTATTTAATGATCTTTGTACACAAATTGTGTTGTGTAAAAGTTGCTTAGGGTGTTTTTGGTTCGCTTCAAAGTGGATCAAAGTAGAATTTGGTTTGAAGTGAGCTTGCTTCATTTCGCTACTAGTGAAGGATACTATTTAAAAGAAGTCGGAAAGAACTCCAGCTCCATATCTTGACTGCTGCTAGGGAGGCCTGAAGTAAAGGTCCAAGATCAAGCATACCTCCTCTATAGAACTTGTCTATGGATGAACATGGACGGAACATTTGTCGTTTGAACCCTGGGGCTGAAAAAACACACCTGGATCATCTCTTAGGTCAACCCACCATTTACGTTCAATCTCCAAAGTGATATAAAGAATTTATCATTGCCACACATTTATTCTTGATGGTGAGTGTATTGCATTTCATCAGTAAGGTATCTGATACACAGTGAAGAAAATGTCACTGCATACAAAACAACAGAACTTGCCGTACCACTCAATAATATATTATGCATTTAGAGGTTGGATTTTTTATGCTCTTATGTGATTGGCTTTATTATGTTATTAAAATATTGTCTAAAGAATTTTCTTGTTCATATTGTTGTCTATTCTAACCAGAGAATATCTCATTTCAGGTTTAGATTATGTTTTTATTGATGTCTATTTGCTTCAGTCTCCATTTTCTTTCCTTGTCTCATGTAAGTCTAAATCAGCAATTGCATGTCACAATTGTACTGAACTGTGGGGACATGGTAGCAAAACTCAGCATGGAGCTGTGCCATTGGTACGGCAACACGGCATTGGTTTTTCAGAGAGCCTCTGCCGGTTGGCACAAAGCATGAACAGAGGAGTCCTTTTTTTTTTTCTGCTTTACATATTCTCTTTGATGTGTGGTTTAATGATGCCTAATGTTTTTTTGACTTCTAGTATCTACTTATTGTGACTGTGTCTCTATTCATAGTGTTAAGACCCCATACTTGATCTACCTATTATGACTTTTTATATGTGGGAGTTTTACATGATTATGGTAAATTGTAGTTATTGGTCTAAATATTTCTTGCATGTGAGAAATGGATGCCTGTTATTTCATCATTAATTGCAAATTATCTGCTGCCATGTCGTCCAAAATCTGCCAGTTTGGTCTAACAATTTTTTGTTGTTTGAGAATATTAATTCTTCTGTCCATTTCATCATCCAGTAATTATAGCTCTCTTTTAGATAGTACTACAGTAGCTCTTTGACTTGTTACTAAATGAACTGTGATATGTTTCTCTCATTTAAAGTACACATTTCAGGAGAAATTGCATTTAGTTGTTCTTACAGGCATATGAAGCTATACCAACACAACTTTGATGGGGATATGTTACAAGAATAAGATTCACTTGTAAAATGGGCTTAATGTTTTCAAGACAAGCATTTCTTTTATTTTGCTGCATTTGGTGTATTGAAGTGAAGGAGGTCAATGATGTTGTTATTGATAATAAGACTGGAGAAAGAAGGAAGGTTGTAGAGAAATGAAAATATATGGCAACTTAGAGAAAACATCAAAATCATTTCCAACATTTGCTACTGTAGAATTTGGAATCA